CAAAAGGTATAAATGCTTGCTGTAATTGTTTACCTGTTGAGAGACCTGCTTAGCTCTCTCCCTCCGCGCAATTGTGAGAGTTAATAAAGCATTTGACTTGCTGTACCTAAACAAATAGTGAGAACTCTGTTTTTCTCCGACATTACCAAGCTTATAATCTACTGAGTGCGTTCATCCTACTTGTGTGTATGTATCGTATCATTCCTGTATCTAAAACTAGAAATATGAAGTTAACTCTGAGGTCCTATTGTAATTATGCAAAGTGTGGGCCATTAATGGTGGTTTAGAATCTTGATGGCACCCACTGACTAGGACAATTGGCTGTAGATGGTTTATTTACCTGCAAGCCTTCTTGTGGATGTGGGGGCCAGCCTGTGGGTAATGAAGAATGAGGTCTTACAGTGACATGTGACCATGTCACCTGATACTGTAATCCATCTTAAACCTGGTGCTTTTCCATTTAGACGGAGGGGTGGGAACCCAGAGAGACACAGGATTCCCACCTTGGGCCAAAGCTATAGAAGGGGGTGGAACAGAACAAAGGGGGCTGCAGTCATGAGAAATCCCCCAGCTACCACCTGAGCTGGAACAAGAACTTTACCAGGGGAAAGGACTGGGCCCAAACTAGGAAAGAGTCCAGTCTGTGAAAGAAGCTTATTGGAACATCTCTGGAGTGAGATTTTATCTGTAATCAGTTTCTTAGTGTATTAGGTTTACACTTGCATGTTTTGTTTTATTTTGCTTGGTAACTAACTTTGTTCTATTATTACTTGGAACCACTTCAATCCTACTTTTTATGCTTAATAAAATCACTTTTGCTTATTAATTAACCCAGAGTAAGCAATTAATACCTGGGGGAGCAAACAGCTATGCATCTCTATCAGTGTTATAGAGAGCAGACAATTTATGAGTTTATCTTGTATAAGCTTTATACAGAGTAAAACAAATTTATTTGGGGTTTGGATCCCACTAGGAGCTGGGTGTCTGGGTGCTAGAGACAGGAGCACTTCTTAAGCCATTTTCAGTTAAGTCTGCAGCTTTGGGGTGTGTGATTCTGACCCTGGGTCTGTGTTGGAGCAGACTGGCGTGTCTGACTCAACAAGGCAGGTTTCTGGAAGCCCAAACTGGCAGAGAAAATGGGCTCAGAGATAGTCTCAGCAGTCCCAAGGGGGTCTCTGTGACTGAACCCATCACAGCCGTACGTTCCCCACCTTTTCTGTCCTATCTTCCCCTCCACCTTGTGTGGGTCTGTCAGTCAGACACAGGAGAAATGAATACCCTTTTCACATCAGGACTGAATGTAAATTTAACCCTTTTCTTTTCTCAAAGAAAGGTTGTTCTGAAAATGAGACTAATATTTTTCTCCCAAAGGAGAGCGACTTTAAAGGATTTGATTAAGCTTGTTTTGCGTAATCACTCAATTTCAGTTTCAGTATAAATGCTTGTTTTTATTTCTTGTTCTTTCTTGTTCGTGATCAATAAACATTCAGTTTTAGAATGAATGCTTTTGCGTGTTTACCAAGAAATTGACTACACCAAGGCCCCGGTTGAGAGACCCTGGACCTCTTTGCATCACTCATTTTATGTTGGACAGTAGAAGAGTTTAACACTATCTCTTCTGACCCTTGAAGTTAATATGACAGGTCCCAACCCAGCCTGGTAACCCCCTTCTCCGGGAGCAGAGTGAACAATCATACAGAGAAATGGACACTTTGCTGAACCACTGGGGACACAAGGGACTCACATGTGAGCAACTCAGACATAGCTTTTTAATAGTTACTCTTGGATGGTGCTCGCGGGGAAAGGCCCAGAGGGGTTGCAGGAGAGGGATGAGCAGTTGTGGTGTGGCTGGAGGGAGGAAGGGAGGAATCAGAAGTTGTGGACAAGATTATTCACCTTTGATCCCTTTGCACCTGTGACTACGGAGGAGCTCGCTTGTTCTCACTGCAGTAAAAGTAAAGCCTAATCTCTCCCTGGCTGGCACCCAGTGTGGCTCTGCCTGCTAGCTGACCTGGGACTCCAAGAGGGCTTGGAAAGAATGCCCATAGCCAGCCTTGTCTGGGGAGAGGATCTCCTTACTACGCTCTCTGGATAGGTGTAGAGACCTTTGGCCCTAGGAGAAGTGATAACAGCAAGGGGCACTGTTCTCCATCCCAGAGCCCGCAGGCAGAGAGTAGGTGAGTTGGGCTCACCTGTGGCTTCCAGGAAGTGCCGAACACAGGAGTCCATGGTTGCTACGCTGCCACTCAGGGTCTTCGTCCCTGAGCAGGAGAAAAGACAGGAAACTGAGCAGATCCACCAGCCATCTAACAGCAATGGTCCCCGTAGGGTTACAATCCTATTCCACAAGTGGAACGAGTCTAAGGGCTCTCAGCCTCGGCTCCAGAGAAGCCATGGCAGATTTTGGCAATAGGCTGGGGTCGCAAGGGGTGTGACAGGGCAGGACTGAGGAGTATGGTTGGAGGGAGGTTCTGGACTGGAAATTACAGGTTGTTAGAGGTGCATGGCCAGCTCCCGCTCACCCCATGCCTGACTGTGCCCTGTGCTCCTGGCACCTCACTTTCATGGGCACCACAACCCTGGGAGTGGGTTGGGCTTTAATGGGGGATGAAGTAGATGCTATTGTCCCACATAATGCAAGGAGACCTCCCATAATGGCAGAGGGTGTGCCTCATACCAGTGCCCCTTGAGATGTGGCACCATTTTCTCATATGTCCTCCCCAGCCTTTCCCCTTACAAGGTACCACACCATCAGGGGTCAGGATTTCAATCAGCCAGCAGCAGGTGAGACAAGCCAAAGGGCACTCCCTTCTGGGCCAGGCGACAGCGGGCTCCCTCATGGCACTGCCAGCCTTTGCTAGGTCAGCACACACAGGGCTCACACCCGCTCTGCAGCCAGTGGAGCCATCTGGAAGGCCCAGGGATCTACCTTAAAACACACACGGCCCTAGGTGGGGGCTGAAGGTGACCAGGCTGCGTATGGAGTGCTCACCTGCAATGTATGTGTTCAGCCCGTCCACCTCGATCACCTGCTGGCCCAGGGTGTGCCTCCCTGGGGCCAGCCCCATTCCAGCAATGGCGTCTGTCACCAGCACCAGGCCTAAGGGGACAAGGAGGGGCCACATTAGCTCTAGCCTTCAGCCCAGCTTTGCAGGGGGTTTCTCTCCAGTTCTTCGGTGCAAGTCCCAGGCATTTCGCTCTGCTGGGAGTGGTAATAGCAGCAGTCAGGATGTCTGTGACCCAGCAAGGAGGACTCTCCCGAGAGCACTGCGCCTTCTGGGTGCAGGGCTGACTGTAGCTTAGGAAAGTGGGGAGGAAAAGAAGATGGAGAAGACAGACTGTTTCATAAGACAAGCACAAAGCTTTGGGCTGGTCACAGAGGTTTGGGCTGAAGGACCAGGCTATAAGCTGGGTAATTCTGAGCCACAGGGAACGTGTAAGTGCAGTAGTGGGTGGGGAGTGACACTGGACTCTACTCATGAGGGGCCATTGACACACAGGATTCCTTTCACACAGCACTGGAGAAGGGTGCAGGAGTGCCCTGGTGCCTGAAGTCCCCTGGTTATCCGCAGAACAGGTAGAGCATGGGCAGTGACAGAGCCACTCTTCACCTCACATTGGGCTACCAATGGGCCTCCCCCAAGCTGGGAGGCCTCATCCCCAGGGCAAGAACTTGGGACATTCTCTGGGCATCTCTCCTGAGATGGTCAACAAGGGTGCAGTTAGCCCCACTCTCCATGACCGTGTGCTATGCAGACACCCATTCTTTGGGAGCTGGAGGGAGCCCCAACAGCACAGGCCATACCTCAGAGATACTCCGGGAGCCTGCTCCTCCCCACACTCCTGACTATAGAACAGCCTTTGGGCAGCTACAGCAACTGCTCACATGGAAACAATAGCAATGAATCATGGGTTTTCAGCTTCTTTTAGCAGGAACAAGGAGGAGAAACCAGCACCATGTGATCAGCAAATGATGCACAGGCCGTACTAGTCTGAAACCAGTAACCTAGAGGTGAAAGCTCCCACTATCCAGAGCCAGCCAGGCCCCTGACACACACCATTCTTAAGTGGAAGTAATCCCATCTGGTACCATTTGAGGAGGATGCTGCACATCAGCTGGGAGAAAAGCAATCCAGATGGGCACAGCATTTGGGTTCAGAGGTGCTGTGCTGTCCAGACCAAGGGGATCCCCAGTGATTCACCTTTGGGGTGTGCTCGATGCGCAATTCTCAGAGCTGCAGGGTTGGTGTGGATCCCATCTGATATCATGCCATAGAACACCCTCCGCCTGGCAGGAATCTGGTCACTCGTCAGCAGCCCCACAATCCCAGGGTCGCGATGGTGGAACTGTGCAAAGGGATGAGAAAACAGGTGTGATACCTGCCACGAAGAAACCCACAGGCTGCCAGTGCCCCGTAGATGCCCCAATTTTATAGGGACAGTCCCGATATTTGGGGCTTTGTCTTATATAGATGCCTATTGCCCCCCCAACCCCTGACCTGATTTTTCACACTTACTGTCTGGTCACCCTAGTGCCCTGGCTAGGGGGTGCTGCCATGAAGGCAGCAGCTGGACGTAGTGACAATGAAGAGGCATGCATGGTGATATAACCCAGACCCACTCAGGGTGGCACTTTATCCCCCACTAATGGTGGTTGGTCCATGTATAAAGTTTGATGAGGCTGCTACAGTCTTAGCTAACAGAGCTGTGTCTTCATTTCTGGCAATAGGGGCTTGTGCGTTTAGACCCAGAGTCACTTCCCCTTGCCGACAACCCACCCAGATGCGTGGCAGAGAATAAATGTCCGTGGAGGAGAAGACAAGCCAGAGTGAGCCACGGGCAGGCAGTGGGCTCCCTCGGTTACTTACAGGTAACATTGCATTGAAGAGATGGGTGATAAAAGTAGCACCATGTCGGACAGCTTCCTCTGCCTGAGACAGATTAGCCACAGAATGTCCTGCGAACAAAGAGCATCAGGTGACTTCTTTGGCTATTTCCCCCTTTACTCTCCCCATTTACTCCAATAACACCCAGGGGCAAGTGTGCTCAGTCCACAAATCACTAGAAGTTTGCTGGAAATCCACCTATTATTCAATCATGCTACACTCCAGTTCTGACAGCCCCATTCAGAACCCAGCTGGAGCATAGAAGTTCTAGTGCCAGTGGTTGAGATGAATTTGGATCCCTACTGCAGTGTACCATGGCTTCCAAAGACTTCAGAAGATAGACAAAGTGGGTGAGGTAATATCTTTTACTGGACCAACTTCTGTTGGTGAGAGAGACAAGCTTTTGAACTTACATGGAGCTCTTCTTCAGGTGCTGAGGGTGCTGATGAGATCTCGGGGCTTTGTTACAGTGATGGAATGAGCTTTTGTTTTGCCCAATGAAGATGAGAACCGTAGTCCTTTCCAGGGGCCCCGAATCTCACTGGAGGCAGAAATTTGCCCTTCTGGATTTTTTTTTATATGGCCTGTAGGGCAGCGAACGCTATGGCCGATTATATACAGATTTGTTGCATAAACCCTTCTTTTGCATGGTTCATCAATTTCAGCCCAAAGAGGAACAACTCAGGGGAAGGGTTAAGTTTTTCTATCCTTTATCTCAGCACCAAAGGGGAGCTTGTGAGGAGAACATGAGAAAAATACAGCCAGTGCTCTGTGCACATGGCTTCCACTTAAAAAAAAAAAAAAATAGGACTGTGCTAAATTTTCCAGAGATTAGTGATGCCTCCATTTTTGGGTGTGTAACTTGAAACACAGTAAGAGGCCCTAGTTTTCAGAGGGCAGGTATTCTGCACTGTCTAGAAAGCAGTCCCATTTAAGGTGGCTACAGCTGGACACTTAAGCCTTTTTGTGCAAGGAGAATTCAAACAGGTTAACTTTAGAAGTTGAACCTTTGCATGTGGTTGGCCCTCACTGGGGTCTTAGCTAAGTTTAAGACAAGTAAAGGTCAGGATCATATTCTGTCCTCAAATACAGATGGCCCGCGCACCCCACTCCTACATCTTGCTGGGGTCAGAGTTGCTCACTCTTATCAAAGTGGAATTTGGTCCTTATTTACAAGCACTTTGAAACACTAAGATACGCACACCGTCAGATATGCCCACCCAGTTTAGAGCCATGTTACAGAGATGAAGAACAGTGACTCTGCACAGTTGTGGACATGAGGAGTGGAAGCAGAAAGGTTTTCCTTTGAGGCTGGAAAAAGACACAAAGGGAAATCCAATGCAGACAGCTTGCACTAATGCACCATTATGGTTACTATGCAGCTGATAGCGTTCTCATATCCATGTTGGCTTGAAGACACTGCATGCACTTTGCACTACAGACAGTGGCCTGATTTGCTAGAGTAACTCCATTAACCTCAAAAAGAACAGGAGTACTTGTGGCACCTTAGAGACTAACAAATTTATTAGAGCATAAGCTTTCGTGGACTACAGCCAACTTCTTCGGATGCATATAGAGTGGAATAAATATTGAGGAGATATATATACACACACACACACAGAGAGCATAAACAGGTGGGAGTTGTCTTACCAACTCTGAGAGGCCAATTAAGTAAG